AAATCATTATGATTAACACTTTTGATGATTGGTGCAATAATACTGATACGCGAGTAAAAATCTATCCATTCTCAGTGAGAAATGGTGGCACTCGGGAAATAGTTCAAGTAGTACCAAGAGCAATCACTCGTTGCGGTGAGTTTCGATAGTCCCTTTCGAGGGTTGCTTATAAGCAGACTGATGGCGGATTTGACCCTCTGACATATGCCAGTACCATTTGAAAAAAATATGATGAAATCCTAGAGGGAATGGTTTTCCCACCGGCGAGTTCGAACCTTCAATCTACTAAGAAATCAAAAAAATCCCTGTTATACTGTGACTTTTCTTGAAAATTATATTGTAAAACGAATAAAAATTAACTCTGCAAGCGACGATTGCATGAAAATATTAAAATTTTCAAGAAGTTAAATTTTTACAAAAAAAAATTGAAAAGTTAAGCCCTTTTTTCTAAAGCATCTTTGAATTTTCAGTCACCATCACCATGGATTCCGAATGTTCTTTCACGGCTGGCCGAAACAGTTGGTGAGCCACATGAAGAGACCCAGGCATATGTAACCGATATAATGCTTTGTCTGCAAACAACCGTATCACATTTGGCACCGGTTTCTCGCCCCGCACATGCGCAATCACCAACACATGCTCGTTCAACATCCTATACACCAGCATTGCTGCGCCAAACTGCAATCGCAGCAGCATCCGCTGCTATTTCACCAACTCATGAACGTAAAATTTCCATTGTTTTGCCTTTTTTTGCATCTATGCAATGCAGAAAACCCATATTGACGAAAGGTTGTGTTTGTGTGTATGTGTGTGTATGTGTGTGTGTGTGTGCATCCGTATGTGCGTCTGTACCGATTTTTCATCTCGTAACCTACAAAAGCTACAAAGCTGAAATTTTGGGAGCATAATCCACATGCATGTACGGACCCCTATCTCCAAATTGGTTACTCTTGCTCACGTGGTTTCCGCATGCGGGCTCGTCAAAGTTTCTTGCGGGTAAGTTGCTAACTCGGGGACCAGAAAAGCTAGAAAGCTGAAATTTTGAGATGTTTTCTCATAGTGGTGGTGGTGGTGGTGGCCATTCTCAATTCTTTTAGCTAGAAGCATCTACCGGAAAAACTCAGTGCCGTTTGCGGTAAGAACCTGCG